ATAAAGACAAGGAAGCATAAATTCGTTAGTCGTTCCTCTGTGCACTGAGGACTTTGCCATGAATAATTCCAAAAGACTGACTTAGCAACTGTTGTACCACTAATTTAATTATTGGATTGGCCGGGACCAGCCGCAGAGATAAAATTATCCAACGAGATGACCTAGGGCCTATTTCACCAACAAACATTTTAACTTTGCACTTTTAACTTTTCAGATTCTGTTTTATTGTTTCAAGGTTATATATTTTTTTAATTTCAATTTTGTTGATACCACATACACAGTGGCGGTTTCTCTTAAGGCCGCTTTGCCGCGCGCCCCCCTGGGCAAGAAACCATAAAGAACGTTTTATTTAGTTTAGAGTGATTTATTTTATTATAAAAGATTAATTAGAAATTTTGTAATTTGAGTAAAAACGCCCATTTATTTTTTATACCTAAACCCAGAAATTAAATTATTTCGATGGTACGGCGCAAACAATTCCGCGGCCCTGGTTGTCATGACAACGCATCTATAGCTCAGCTCTACGCTTCTGCTAGCCAATCAAAAAATTCAAATGTTCCTCGCGTGGTCACCACTTGGCCAAAGATTCTGCGGCCACGCTTAGGCGACGGGTATGAAAGTGAGATCGGCGCATTGGAAACACGAGAGTATGGGCGAGGGGGTGCTTTGGATTTAAGGGGAGATAAAAACCAATTAGCTCCGCGTATTTTAAAAGAAGGGACGAGTAATTAGTGATTTTATTAATTTGGGTTTTTTTGAGATTAAAATGACATTTATGCTTGCACAAAAAGAATAGCGTCTTATTAGTTGGATTTCGTGATTTTTGACCGATTTGAGAAAGCACTTGCAGTTTTCATTATAGTTTTAATTTATGTTTATTGTGAATTGACAATGAGTGGAAGTGCAAATAGTGTAAGTGTTTTAATAAAAACAGATTTTAACAGACTTCCTCTAGAAGACAAAATAAAAATTAAGGATTTAGGCAGGCCATTGCCTGATTTAAATTTAACACAGATTAGTGAAAGAAAATCTCAAAACAGGACATTTACACGGCATTTCTCAAGAGACATTTATGACCGAAATAATTGGATATTTGGGTGTGAAGTTTTGAATTTGTTGTACTGTTTTCCGTGCATATTGTTTTACAACCCTGCAGCAACAGGAGCAGATCCGAATTGGGCACGGAGAGGTATAAAGGATTTGCATCATCTTCCTGCTAAAGTAAGAAAGCTCGAATCATCTCGTGGTCATATAAATGCATGCACAGCACTTGCTTTACTTGAAAAATCGAATATAATGACTCAGCTTAACCCTGCTTATCGCCAACATATTACTGAGCACAATGAAAAGGTTCGGAAAAACGGCTATATTTTAAAACGCATAGTTAGTTGCGTAAAATTTTGCAGTGCTTTTGAGTTGGCACTCAGAGGTCACGACGAAAGTGGGGAATCGGGAAATCGGGGATTTTTTAGGGAATTAATCGATTTTACTGCAATATTGCAGTATGCAAGACATTGACAATTTTTGAAGAAAAGGTGTTGGAGAAATTTATATCTATGAAGGACCGAAGAGCAGAATTTAATTTTAAGAAATAACTTTTTTGTGTTATTAATACATATTTATTTCAAGTAAGTTTTTTTTATTGTTACATTATTTGAGACAGTTTTTTTTTAAATTGACGTCAAAGTTATCTGCAAAAGTTTGATTATGACCGCACCATCTTCTTGAAAGTTATTAATCTGATATTGACATCTCACTGGACGTATTAAAAATTAGGGTTTGTTTACAACACACTCATAGTCACTTCCAACTATGACGCCAAATTTTAATAAAGACTCGTTATATACCATCATTTTAATTGCGACCCCCCTGTCTAAAAGTCACGAGCCACCACTGCACATACAGTATGTACCCGGATTGAGTTTACAAGAGGAAAACAATTTTTATCTTTAATTTTACGCTAAAACTGCAAAAGAAAAACGTTTTTTGCTTTGCCTGAAACGAGCAAATCTGTAATTAAAACTTTATTATTCTTACTCAACGAAAAGTTCATTTTTCTCTTGATTCTGGACAATTTTTATCTGCTTTTTAAATACCATCACATTGGCAGTTTAGTTTTTTTGACAATGATGTCACTTTGAGCTTACGCAAAAACTATCATTATTTAATTAATAAATTAATTGTCAAAGTGACATATAGTTGTCAAATAAATAAAATCGATAATGTGCTTAAAAAGCAGAGAAAAATTATTTTAAGTCGAAAATCAAGAGAAAAATTAACTTTTCTTTTCACTTTCACACATCTCTAATATTTTGACATTTGCAATTTTTAAAGCAAGTTGAACAAAAATGTCGTTTTTTTAAAAAAAAAAGTTTAATTAACTAGCAGTTTAAAACTAGCAGTGTTGCAAGTAGTAAAAACAAAAAAAAAGATTTGCTATTGGATGCTTTTTCTGGTAAAGTTGCACACGCGAAAACGGAGAAGCTTGGACTTGTGTTCTCAATAAAGCAGTACAAATTTGCTTTTATACAGAATGTTCCGTCTTTTTTTTGTTACAAATTTAAACAGGTGATAGAATATTCAATTTTAAGATAAAAGTTTCCTATGAACATGCATCAAAATAAAAATATTATAATTCACGAAAACTTATTGACATTTGGTATATGCTTAAAAGTATTTAAATTCCATCGTCTCAGATGTTTATCAAACCTCTATTTCCATTACTTTTTGGGGATATAAGGTTAACTTGATTTTTTTAGGTGGCAAAAAGAGTCAAATTTCATATTTTTATGAAGAGCATTTTTTTCTGAGTTCTGGGGACCTATTTTCATCAAGTGCTTTAATAAGTACGCGTACGCATAACAACAAAATGCGAGCAGTTTCTAAACATGCTATTCTTGAGCCTTCGTAAATTCATTTACCTTCTGTACAAAAAGTACCTGGAAATTTTAAATGAAATAGTACTACGTTATTATTGATCAATTTTCATTTAATTCTCTGTAAAGTAAACTCTATCTGAAACGCCACGCATATGCCAATGTTTAACTCAATCATCAAAACACTTCTTACAAACAAACAAACAGCTAAATAATATTACTCTTAAACCTAAGTAATGATTTACAGTTATGAATTCTTTGATTTTCTTTACATTTTCCACCGTCTTTGCTGTTGATCTGCTAACGATCGTCCAGAACGAGGAAAGTCGGTAACCTCTTTCCGGCTCAATTGAAATGTTTTGCACCACTCATATGCTTGTATTTTTGACATATATGAGTGCCCAAAAGTTTTTTGCAAAATTTTCAGAGATTCACTTACACAAGTTTTCGTTGGCAACACAAAATAGCAAGCAAATTCTCTGATCGGTAGTGAAATTCATGACAAAAATCGCAAGTCTGGCTTAACCAGAAGTTATGGTAAAAACCATTTTAAACAAACCACTTGACTTGTAGTGGTAAAATTTGTCTTGGTAAAAGAGTATGGTTGTACCAATATACCATACAAGAATTATTAAGATATCTTCTACGTGAACTCTTTAAATCGAAAATTCCCGATACTTTTTTTACAGAGTAGTACGTACTATTCACTTATTCAATGAGCGAAAAATAGTAAGTGCATCTAAATACGAATATGGAATAACGTAATGTCAGTTTTTGTAAACATGTTGTAGCAGCTTTAATATACCGGGTGTCCCAGGCAGGCTTGGAGATAGGGGATTAACATGGGAAATTAGTTTTTATTTTTTTCCGACTGCAGGAGTAACAAAAATTAATATCTGATTAATGGAGCTTGCAGTGCTCCAAAAGGACAATCTTATCGACATTTTTGTCGATTCTCCAATTAACTCCATTTCGGCAAAAACGGCTCTTGAAAAATTGAAATTTGAAATTTGCCGGGTTAGCGTTACTAAGAAACGCACTATCAAGTCAAATTGTAACAAATTCTCCTTTGGCAACAATGACTTGATAGTTCGTTTCTTAGTAACACTAACCGGGCAAATTAAAATTCAAATTAAAATTTCAATGTTTCGACGGTCGTTTTCGCCCATATGAAGTTAATTGGAGAATCGACAAAAATATCGATAAGATAGCCCTCTTCAAGCACTACAAACTCCATCAGTCAGATTTTGATTTATGTTACTCCTGCAGCTGGAAAAAAATAAAAACTAATTTGCCATGTTAATTCCCTATATCCATCCAAGCCTGCCTGGGACACCCGGTATATAAATAGGTAAAATAACATTATACAATTAATAAAATATAAATATACATGTAGGAATAAAGACTTAGAACTAGTTAGTTGTACCGATTTGACAAAGGCATGGGGAAAAGAAAAAAAAGGAATTGTGGGGATGTACGAAAAAACTAGAATATATGAGTTTTGGTGTCATAAACCAATGACAATGAAATGGACATCGCATCCTCAGATAGAGAAACGCAGTTTTGACCCATTTGTTCTTTGTAAGTAACTAATAGTTCCCATGTACATACATACCTAACATTAGATATAAACGAATGTACTTAGATCCATCCTCACTTTTAGGTAATCATTCATCTGCAATTTCTAAGTTGTTAGAAAGCTTAACTAAGAGAGTAAAAAGTTGTTCAGAACCAGATAATAAACTCAGGTATTTGTTATTAATACTTACTTTCAAATAATATAATTCCTAAAACTCATACAATTTATTGCTTTGTAATAATTAGAATGTTTTATGCCCGGTTGCACGAAAGATAACGGATAGTTAACAAAACTTTAAACATTCATCAAAAATTTTGTTGAAATCAAAACACCGTTAACGGTTGATTAACGTTTCATCAAAAATTTGATGATTATCAACGATAATGGTCCGTTAATGGTCCATCACCACTGTTTTCCGTTGCACAAACAAAAATGTCACTGTTAACTATTCATTAACGACTCTTCAGCTTAATGACTGAACCGCGGGCGATTACTCGGTGATTAAATCATATGTCAAATTTTTTCTTGACGTTTTAAGGCGTTTTTAGTGAGTTGTTATTAAATATCTAAAGGATGAGACAGTAATAAGGATTAAAAAGTTGTAGAAAACATTGAACTGACTTTATTATTTGAAAAATGTTGTGGGACACATCCTCATCTTCATCAAGCGAGAGTGATTACGAAGAACCTGAAAGGCCTGTACGGAGAATTCGTTTCATCCGGGACCGTGAAAATCCATTTGAGATGTTGGATGAATATGACTTTAAAAAAAGGTTTCGCTTAAATAAAGCTACTGTTACTTATCTAGTACACACAATTGGAGATAGAGTCGCACCTAAGACGCAGCGGAACAAATCCTTGAGTGCACAAACCCAATTTTTAATTGCCCTCCGATTTTATGCAACGGGTGACTTTTTGGAACTCGTCGGCGATTGGATGCACGTCCACAAATCCAGCATCTGCAGAATTATCCAAAAAGTCACACGCGAAATTGCTCGACTCTCTCAAGAACATATTAAGATGCCGAGGACCGTTGAGGAGTTGGTAGCAACCAAAAGAAATTTTTTTCAAATTGCTGGTTTTCCTCGTGTTGTGGGTACTGTGGATTGTACCCATGTTGGCATCCAATCGCCTGGTGGTGCAAATGCAGAACTGTACCGAAATCGAAAAGGGTACTTTAGTATTAACGTCCAGGCCGTTTGCGACGCCAATTTGAAATTATTACACATCGTTTCTCGATGGCCGGGATCGGTACACGACAGTACGATTTTTAATAATTCGCCTCTTCCTGTCGACTTTYGAATGGGGAGATATGGTAATGGGTATCTATTKGGTGACGGTGGATATCCTTGCCAACAATACCTCCTCACTCCATTTCGTAATCCAGCTAACGCAAGCCAAGAGGCTTATAATCGAGCTCATATCTCTACTAGGAACTGCATAGAAAGATTTTTTGGAGTTTTGAAACGTCGTTTTCCATCATTGAAATATGGGCTTCGATTAAAAATTAATACTATAGTTGAAGTAATTGTTGCCTGTGGAGTTCTACACAACATCTGCAAACAGCAAGATGATGATATAGAAGAATATTTTGATGAGATTATAGAACATGATGAGGAGGAAAATGTTATTTATCAAGAACATAACATAAATAATGTTAACTTTGCAGTAAGGAATTCTCTGGTCGAAACTATTTTCGCCAGAT